TGTTCATAGCCTAAAATTTTGATAATTGTTATAATTTTATTAATTTTTAATAAATTAAAAAATTATATATTTATTTACCTTCTAATTTTCCATTATAAATAAACTCTCCACTAGCTTGAGAAGCCTCACGTACATGACTCCAAGCACAATCAAAAGATACTTCTAATATATCTCGATTATTTTTATGAAGTTGCTCACATATCGTTATCAATGCATTCTCTGTACTGTTATCCGCAATTTGATATAAATTGTAAAAAAATTCTGATTGTTTATTAAAATATTGTTGATGCCCATTCTGCCGTGTGATTCCTAACACAGCTAACATTGATCGCAATTCCTCTCGATTTACACCTCCAATTAAACCAGCACCTGCTATACTTTTTGAAAAGTCATCACCTTCTCTTTCATTATAATATTCAACTTCATCTAAGCACAAAGAACAGGTAATAATAACACAAATTTGTAATCCATCAACTCTGATTTTAGCAGTTCGATTTGCAGAATCTGTATTATGACACGTAATGCAAGGTTGATTTAAAACCAAATCTAAAAAGATATTGGTGCTAACGAGAATGGTAGATCCTAATCGTGCTTTTTCTGTAAGTTTTTCAATAGTCTGGTATTCAAAATCTGAGTTCGTACTATCATTTGATTCATTATTATTATCTTCCTCATTGCTAAAAAAGATTATATGATATAATAATTTTAAAGAAATAATAATAGTAATAATAATTTTAAATAATTAACATACCACGATGAGTCAGAATCCGTTTTTAAACGCGTTTTTAATTTATGAATAGTATCTAAAGATCGACGCAAACGTTTTTTGACCGTTTTCAATTCATTTTTGGTTTTTTGTATATTTTTTTGTGATTCATTTAATTTGACACCTAATGCTTGTACTATTTCTTTCGAGCCTGACCATCCATTAGCTATAATAGGTAATCCTTCCTTAATGATTCCTTTATTATGAGGATCATCAAAATATAAATCTTCTCGTAACTCTTTAGCCTTTCGTTTAGCCTGATTAATAATATTATTACGTTGAACTTCAGCTTGAAATAAAGCTTCTTCTGACTTAAATAAATTTGGAACATGTTGAGAAACAAATCCTCGAAGCCACTCAACATTTGCTTTGCATGTCAATCCAAATAAGAATGGTGCAGAAAAGGTTCCAGAATATTTGATTCGTGATGTATTTTTAATATAATATCATAAACTGGATAAATCATCACGTGCAGCAGATGTTTGTTGTATATTTGTAAATGTTGAATCATTTGCATAATCGGTCCATCTATATACAATATTATTATCTTGACTTGACCATTCCAAAGCTAATTTGAAATAAGTTTCTCCCAATTTTGTATATATA